ACGTGAAAATGATTAGTTAAGGAAAAAATGTTGCACGTGAAAATGATTAGTTAAGGAAAAAATGTTGCACGTGAAAATGATTAGTTAAGGAAAAAATGTTGCACGTGAAAATGGTTAGTTAAGGAAAAAATGTTGCACGTGAAAATGATTAGTTAAGGAAAAAATGTTGCACGTGAAAATGATTAGTTAAGGAAAAAATGTTGCACGTGAAAATGATTAGTTAAGGAAAAAAATGTTGCACGTGAAAATGATTAGTTAAGGAAAAAAATGTTGCACGTGAAAATGATCAGTTTGTTACGTGACATAAAAGTGGAAAATAAACAATCAGTTCAGTTGTCCTTTTTTTTCACGCATCAGTATGCAAATGATGAGGAAAGATGGCCATATTTTTCGATAATTTTCATCTTTCCTCTCGATATTATCATTATCCTTCTTCCTTTTTTTCATAGTTCCTTATTTTCATTGATTCATATTTCCTTTCAATAATATTGGTTTCCTCTTTCATCCTTACTCTCTTCCTTCCTCTCTCTCTTCATATCTCTGTCCCTCTAGTTTGTCAATATATTTTAAATTATTATCTTTTAACCTTCAAGGAATAATTTCTATCATTTTCAATCGGCTGCGGAAGAACAAATTTCTGCAATACCATTCCACACTAAGTATATCCATCTATCAGTCAATCATATATTTAGTTCAGTCTTCGAAGCGGGAAGGCTCATGTCACCACCTATCTAGGTGACACTTTGAGATTCTATTCTTAGAGAAATCTCTTAGGACATATCTTTTTATGGATGAGGCCTAGATTTTCATGTAATAAATGACAAGCATATATTTCCAAGACTTCACTAATTTGCTAATTATTAATCACCTTCTTCAGATTTTATCAAATTTATTTAAATAATACGAAAAAAATGATAAATAATAAATGACCAAAGTTATAAAAAATATTTCTGCGTTTTATTACTCAATTCGATTTTACAATTTTTTGAAATCTCTCGCAGTTCGTTTTTTTGATTGATCAAACTTTTAAAAGTTATTCCTTTTATCGCTTGGAGACTTTTATTAATCCTTTGATGTAATCCAAGCAAACTTCCTTTTCAATATCATTTGTTGACGGAAGTAAATAACTTGGCCTATATATTTGGGCCAGGAAAGCGAATTCTCTTTTCATGGACTTTTTTTTAAATCGCAAATTTAGAAATTTTCTTTTTCTTTAATGAAAATACAATTTGTATTTCTTATCATTTTGTTTTCTTTTGACTGTAAGAAATGAATGAGACTGATCGTACCGTAGGTATAATATTGTTAGAACTGTTCATCAATCAATGGACATAAGATAGCACATGTCCATTTGCAGTGACCAAAATTGGCTAAGAAAAATAACCTTTCAAAATAAGACTCAAAATGGTATGGCATCATTTCATTTGATATGCTCTATTGCTTAGAGTATGAATGGTTTCTAATGTTTACTGAAAATTTTTGTTATTAATTAAATCATTTTCCTAATATGCCTAAAATTATCAGAACTGATGATTATTGTCACTTTTCTGTGACATAGCTTTAATAATTGCTACATCTTATTGGACGAATAAGCTTATCCAATTGAATCAACGAATAAAAATGATTAATGCTTGAATAAATGCGCAAATGAAATTTATTTACTTAGGAATAAGGGATGGCCTCAGTGCCCGTCAGGGCACTTAATGCTTTGTGTAACGAAACACCACGTAACATTCAAGAATGGCTTACGGAATTGACAATAACCAATGAACCGGAATGTATCTTCATTTTATATGCTAAATCATTTTTGGATATTACCGAGCAACAACATCATTTGTCAACAACATCTAATTATTCCGAGAATCAAACTGAGCGAATTCATTCGGATAGCATAAGGTATTTCGTGCTATAATTTATCACTTAACGCTTGAATTATTTAAATTTTAATCTGTTTTGAGTTCTGATATTTCATTCTTTGACATTTAAATTTTGAATAAATTTGATTGAATGACATTCAAGCAGATGTATATTACCCAAATTCCTCCAAATATAATTATTCAATAAATTAAAATCATGACATCAAATATTAACAAGTTAATCATTTGCATAGGATAGAGATAATATGTTTTGATATATAGAATTATAAGTAAAAATAATCCTAAAATAAAATAAAAAAAAATTAAAATAAATGCACTTTCAAATTGCATTTTGATTGATATTTCCTATACACAAAATACAAATTGCTTTTCTGCTGTCCACTTTGTTGTCCACTTTACACTCATCCATCTTCATCATTAACCAGATAATAGACCAACAATCGGTCAAAAAAGACCAGAAGTTTTGAGTATTCGGATATTACATTTCTTTCGAACTTCTGGATATTTCTATCTGTCAACTTTACTTTTCTGTTGTCACCCTTTTTTATTGTCACCTTTTAATCATAAAATGTCTTTTAGGACAATAAACTGCAAGTTAAAAAATAATTAAATGTTAAATTTTTGAGTTCTAAAGTAAAAAGTTTTCAGTATTTCCTAATTTGACCGTTTTTTGATAAATATTAAATAATTAGAATAGGCAGAACTATAATTAATTAATGTGTTATTCGTATTCAAATTGTGTCTCTTCTACTGCAATTACGTTAGAGTAGTAGTCTTACTTTGAAGTTTTAATAAAATTAAAATTGTCTTCTCTGCTTTTGAATTGGGAATGAAAGGGGGAAAAGTGATTGACAGCTTTTGAAAGGTCAAATATTTTAAAATTTAATTTTGAATGTCCAATAACAATATTTGCAAGTTGCAATTCGGCACCAGTGAAACCAAAACGATGTATTGCCCGAATGATGTCTTCATCTTCGGGGCATATTATGACAGCTTCAACACCAGCACCATCCATGAAAACTGAGAAATATCGTACCACGGTGTGTTATCAGCTTGATGAAGCAAAAAAAAATACTTCCATAAAGTTAGTTATATTAAATGATAAGAAGAACTCACCAGGTAGAAATATTAAAAATTATATAATACAAACTATGATAATTATGCAATATTTAAGAATTAAAAAATCAATCAAAAAGTTATTTCAAATTCTTAAAATTTGAAATATTTCAAATTTTCGAAATCCTTTTTTAATATTTTATCTATTTTCTAAAAGACAATTTCGATGCTCCAATAAATAACAACAAGAACAATCATTGCAGATTGAATCCGGCATCAATATCAGCATTTATCCGTGTGAAACCTTGTAAGGATTCTGACGATAATAAAACGGATAAGGTGGAATCAGAATGTAATTCTGTAATGAGTGAAATATCAACTAAGACATTGGACCAATCAGTGCTACCTAAAATACCTGTTCATAGTGCAACAGCAAGTTTTTCCCTGACAAATCGATCTCTTACACCGAAAATTTCTACCAAAGCCAACGGTTACAGATGTAGATTACGTGGTAAATCACAGAAGTCATACCGTTCACAGCTTCAACAACTGCAAAAACAAAGAGAGAAGGAAACAATTGAAAATGATCGGAAGCCAAATAATAGAACATCAATGGTAAGGTAGAATTTCATACTGGATAATCTTTTACGGATGATAATGTACATATCAGCAATGTTCAGTAATACAGTATTCGAAACAGTTGGATAAATCATCAAAATAATTTCTTTTTCCTTCATTCAAAGCTTGCGATGATCATATGATTACAGCTTGCGATGCCACAAGTAAAATACAATATTTCCAGATTTCACTTACCGTTTCCGGTTTTAGTCCATGTTTTCGGAATAATTTATTGAAGTACATCATTTAGACGCTTTAATAATATGTAATGTTTTTCAGCTGAATTTTTGATTTCATAAAACTTTGACTACAAAAATGTTTTTTTCTTTTCCTGTTCAGATTACTGACAAAACGATGATCGTCAATGATTCACTGCCATATTCATCTGCTAAATCTTCATCATCGAAAGTTGACAGTAATCAATGGATAGCAAAACCGGATGATCAATCCGTATCTGTTGCAAGTGAGCAAAGTCGAACTTGCTTAAGAATTCGGCCGAATCCTTCGTCATCACACAATATGAGCACCAATAATAATCCAGATAACTGTGAAACGACGTTTGTGAGGCAATTGGATTGCTTCCGGAATAAATTAAGAAATTCTTCCAGCATTCAAAACGATTCACAATCATCAGCCGTAACTTCCGTAAAATTTAGAAAATCACCAAAAACAACGATTTCATTACAGGTTAATATTACAGTTTGTGTTGTGTAATGAAAATTAAACAGGATCTTTAGAATTTTTGAAATCGACCAATTTTTCCGGTTTTTTTTTGCTTCTGAAATATCAGTTTATTGTGTGGATTTCTATGGAAACTTCTCAAACATTCATTTAAAAAGAAAAACTGGAAAATTTTTAGAAAAAAATGAAACCAGATAAGAGATCCGATTCGGCAAATAACTATAATCGCAATCAAATTTCGAACAATCAAGTATCACAAAAAACAGCAAGTCATGGGCAGGTAGATTCAATACGAAACAGTGTCACCTTTGTTCGTATATGACAAATGCAGTCAGCGCAAAAATTATATTAATACAAATGATAATGAATACGATGACCAATGCATTTGCGATAATAATGAATAATAAATAAATAATAACAAATTGTTCATAATAACACATCACAAATAATAAATCATTTCATGCCAAATTTTGATTTTTAAGTTTCTTCAAAATTTTACAGCTGCAAATTTTTCGCGTCAATGGGGAAACAATATTACAGGTACTACTTGATGCACCACCAAATTCACAAGCGATAAAACTAATTTCGAATGTTTCCAGGTGATAAATTTATAAATTAGGAATAATTAGATGAAAACATAAAAATATTTACTTTAATTTCTCATTGCTTCAGATGTTCCGGTTATGATACTGGTGATGGTATTATTGAATCAACATCAACGGGAGTAACAACATCAGCAGCATTTGAATCGATTGATTCAAGTACAAATAGTAGCATAGATTCCGGACAAGGGTCGACGGAATTAAATTTTCAAAATTGTTTGGCCAAAGATCCATTAAACTATGATAAGACAGTTGCAGAAGAAAGATTCCCAAGTTATGCTCGAATAGTCAGTAAGTTATAAAAATCTGAAAAAAATTTCATTTCTGCCACGAAGTTGAAAATATTTGTGTTGAATATCAAACACATCAACTACCAAAGTTCTGTCATCCTTCAAAGTTAATTTGATTGACAATGTTCTGTGTTAACCTGACAGTCACACGTTTTGTCACCCTTCAAAGTCAATTTGCTTGACAGTGTTCTGCGTTAATCTGACAGTGAAATTAATTGTCTTAATTGAGTATCAATTCTAATTAAGTAAAGTTGTGTAATTGAATAATTAATTAAGTATCGTGTAATTGAGTATTGATAGTAATGGACCACCTAATTATCATTATTTCTACCAGTTTTATCTATTCTGTAATTCCGTTTTCGTAACACCAATCAACTTTCTACGAATCGTTTCAATACATCGACCGATCATTGCGATTATATGCTTTCGTGTTGTAGTATATAAAACACGTAGTTATGGCAAAGTTGAGTAATTGAGTAACTGTGCAATTGAGTATTTAATTAGTGATACTAATTGAATACCTAATTATATAAAACACATAGTTATGACAAAGTGAGTAAAATGGAAGATTTCAAGATACAATTGACCACGTATTACGTGTATGCAGCACGTTTCACGCAGCAATAAACGATGAAATAAGTGAAAAATGGACCAGTAATGTAATCTGTGAAGCAAAACTGCTAATCGCTACAATTCAATGCTCACCGTCTTTTACGTTTCTTTCTGCTCACGTAAGTATACTGATTGTATATGTTTTTTTTTACTGAATAAGGATATACGTCAAACGTGTAGTTTTCCACATTAAAGATTGGATAGGTTGAATTAGCTATAATGAGAATGTTAAATTTAAATATTAAGTGTTATGTTGAAAATTATATAAATTTTGTTAATTTTGTTTAACATAGATAATATTGTTAATTTTTCTTTAGATAATAATTAAAGTAGATTTAATTATCTTTGCAAGGATCATATCATACCACCTTTACTTTTATTCCATACATTGGTATTATTCCTTTTTTTTTTCTTTTTAAGGATATAGTAACAGCACGAAGGATGATTTCCGATTTGGAATCAGAACAGAATTGTGCAGAGAAGCCTGCTAATGCATTTAATTTTCTGATTGTTCTATTACGGAAGATAGTTCACGAAGTTTTAATTATCTTTGCAAGGATCATATCAGTGTATTTAGCTGAATGTACCAATCGAGATCGATTATTGATCATTGCACTTGAACATCTTATACATTTGATGCTTTTTGGTGATGAAATTTGTCATGTTATTATACAGGTTATAATTTTTAAAAATAAAAATTACCACTAAATCACTATTATTAAATAATGGAAATTATCGATTTTTCTTACAGAATTTAAAATCTATGTGAGAAAAGAAATGTATTTCGTTAATTAAGATTAAACAACATTAGAAAATAATTAGTTTTATAATTTCATTTCATTTGAGCAGGGTATCGCTCATGTGGGTTACTGTAATCATTTTCATTCAACATTTAATTTTTTACTAAATATGTTAAGGAAATTTACTCTGGAAAAATTTATTTGCTAATTCAGTGTGGAGGTTTGGAATCGCTGTTATATTTTTGTGAAGTACCTTCCGTTTCAAATGGTACCCTTCGACTGCTACTTCGAGCTCTAGCTATCCTATGCGGTAACTATCGAGGTGCAACGAAATTTTTAGCAGTAAGTTATTTGAGAATTACCGCGTAATATTTGGGCATTCTTGGAAAGATATCAGTATCCTAATTGTATCCACCAATATAGGAATTCCACATCTTCAACTGATTTATAGCTAAAACATTGTATGATGACAATGTCCTTTAATTATTTCGATATAGATGCCTAATTAAGTTTTCGATATCGGTAATAATAAGTTGATTTTTTAGTGAAGAGAAGTTATTTGAGTAAGAATTACAAAACAACTCGGGTCCATATTATTCAATTTTAGATGTACAAATATCAACAAATTTTTTTTCAGCTTAATAAATTTGAATTAATTATCAAAATACTATTTACCTCAACGATAGCTTGCTCAGCAGAAGCAGCTGGTATATTGACACAGTTGACAAATCCTAATCAAAATTATGTTCGTCTTGGTAGTATAATGCCAAGAGTTGTTACACGAATTCTCGGTATTCCACAATTAATTTTTTAAATTTAGATTTGACAATTTTGAATGGTACTTTAATAATCTTCTCTATACCTTTATCATCAAGATTTACTTAAAATTTCACTGCAGAAATTACTATATGATGCTATAACGGATACAGTTATGATCTGTAAAATTAAATTCATCCTTTCAACAGTTACTTCCTAAGAGATATAATTAACATTTATCCATTTATGGTCCATAATTTTTTCATTATTTTAACTGCAAATTTTAGAAATCGTTGATAAAAGTAAGATAGCAGAGTCATTACTGCTAGCATTGGCGGCACTGGCAAATATAACTGTGCAAGAAACCGAAACGATTGATATTCTTTACGAGCATAATGCTATCAAACGTATTGTTCAGGCGTATAAGCGGCCGAAATGTCACAGTGTATTCATTGAGGAGCAGGTAATCTGAATCCAATCTCATTCTATTAATCAATAAAATGAACAAAGTAAATCACATAATCAGTTTTCTTTTTTTTTTTCGAAATTCTCAATTTTATTGCAAAAAAAAAAATTTGAAATTTCAGTTGCTAACAATTTTCATCAGTCTTGCAAATGGCGCTTATATTGAAGCGCTAATTGGACAGGGTGCAGTTGGCTTATTGCTTTCATTGTTGGGAACAAACAGTTGGATACATATCCATAACTGCAGAAGAATTCAGATACGAGCTACGAAGTGCTTACGAACGATAGCTAATCACGGAATTGGCCTTAAGGCTATACATGAATTAGACGGTGAGTTTTCCATCCTGCAGTTGTAAAGTTTTTTGACTTTCAGTTTTGAAGTTCCAATTAATTTTCATTGATTAAATCAATGATGGTTGTGCAGATTTCAGTTTTAATCAAAATCAATGATGAAATTTTGCATCCTTCTTTTTTATGATAACGAAGATATATGTTTAAACTGTTTTTTGATGTTTTTTTTTTTTCAAATAACACATATCTTTTAACATTTGATTTCGACTTTTAAGGTAGTTTCTAATTTCATTTTGACCATCATTCACAATTCTATTAAATTCAAACATTAAATCGAATTTTTTTCGTTCTTTTAATGATACAAATTTTTTAATGGATTAAAAATCTTGAAGAAAACGAAAATCAGCCAATTATTTTTGTGATAATAAGAAAACAAAAGATTAAAATTTCGTGTCATTTGTCATTTGATTTGATTATGTAATCAAATTAGTGTTTGGATCATACAATTTAAATAAAATTAAAAAATTCAAATTCGTTTCATTTATTTTGATTAAAATCAAGAAACTAAAACGAATTAGGTCCAGTGGATTAAAATTTTGAAAAATTTAAACTTACATATTTGCTTTTTCTCATTTTTTTTTTGACATAAAAATCACTGCAATAATGACAAATAAATTAACTTAGATTATATATCTATCTACATTCACTTAATCATCTAATTACCTATTACTGCTTTTGTCCCATCATATGTGTGTGTGTACTTTTTCTTCATTCATTTCAATTTAAATTTTTTCGAAAAATGAAATCTATTCGTAAAAAAAATACCAAAATTTACATTAAAATTTATTCATGGAATGGAATAATTAATTTCAGGTTACCTGACAATATCAAAAGTAATGCAAGATAATAATGCGCCAATGGATGCAAGGAATAATTTGTGGTGGATAACGGAACAATTAGAGAAAAAGTATCAAATAGAAAGTGCTGTATAGTGTTAGAGTGAAATTTCAGGCTAGTTTAACTAGCCCCCCAAAAAAAATCTTCACTTCATTGTGATAATTTAATCAATATGTTGATTTAATCACTATGCTAATTTAATCGTTATGCTAATTTATTCAGTCCTTGTAATCATATTACATACTTATGGTACAAGAATTCTACTCTCCAAGATATTTGACTTTTCTCTTTTTTTCTTGTCCAAAAGATTTAAGGCTTAATTCTTGCCTTACACATAGCTAAGCTAATTCTCCAACTCACAAAGAATTATCAATCAATATGTAAACTACGAGATTCATGCTTACTTAATCTTCTGCAATATTTTATATTTGCAACTTTTCTGTGACAATCACTTCAATGTCACTACAGAACCAATCCAAAGTTTGAAAAATTATGATTCTGATGATATGATTGAAAAAAATGAATTGTATAAAAAAAACACATTTTGCAACTGTATTTTGTAATTTTTTCTTCGAAAAAAAAGTAATTTTAAATTGCTGAAAGTTTGGTTTGCTTGCGACAGAAAGAATGCATAAACTTGCTTAATACCTATGCAAACATCTTGGTCACGTAAGTTTATGCTCAAGTACGTATCCCGCCAGCGTTATCTACGTTGTCACGTTATTCTCGAAATTATAAAAATTCTTGCAAAACTTTTCATATTCATATGTATTATGAGAAATTGACATGGTTTTTTCAAAATTTCTTCTCGGACTTTATTCATTTCTCGAATTGAACATTTCTTAAGAATGAAATCAGCAACAGATAATTGCAACATGCAATAATTTGTTTCGAAAAAGGCAAAGAATAACTTTCAGCATTTTAAAATGTTAATAAATTATCTATGCTACGCTTAAATTCATTTTTATTGCTATTTCAAATACTTCAGGTGATAAAATAGAAGTGATAACAAGAAGCTCAGTTGTCACTGTTGCTAATATGCGCCAAAACAGTAAGCAGCACTGTTGATAGCTCGATATTTAATAAATTTGTAAATATTTTTGATGCATCTTTTCATTCAGTTTAGTGATTCATTTTTTCATAATTTTCATTTATAAAAAAAAAAAAACGAAAACTTTGAGGAAAACAAAAAGAATCAACGTTTCCATTGCAAGAGCGCAAATATCCTTTTTTTTTTTTCTCATCGTAATTTACATTTGCATTCACATTTTAGATCACTACTAAATGCTATTTATTACCATTTATGGAAAAGTAATCATTATAAATGATATACACAATTAAGTACAGAAATCAATCGCCAAAGTTTACAATTAATCAATCGGACGGATTCTTCCAACTTTCTTTCTTATCAAAAAAAAAAAGTTGAAAATACCACGAATCATTCAGAGTTATTCTCATAAATTTATGTCTAAAAAAAAGCAAAAATCTGTCAGTAAGTTTCTACAGTTGATCGTAGAATAACAACAACCATACGGCGACAAATACACATTAAATAGTAACAAGTCAAGTCAGTGACAAGAAAATTACTGACAGATTTCATTTCGCTTCGAATTTAAAACTTATCATTTTCAAAAATACTTCCCTATCTTTGAATAAATCCTTGTCCATCAGCACTATGTCATTCTCATCATTTGTTGTCGTAAGCAATCATAATGTTGCATCATCAATTGTGCTGTAAGTAAAACTATTCGTAGTTCTGCTCTCGCATCAAAAGTCTCATTTTGACATCTGAAACAATCGTTAAAGTTTATGGGGAAAGCAAATTAATTAAGCAAATAATTTATTGACTATTAAATTAATTATATAAATGAACTCAATTCATAGGCTCTATTTGGCAATTAAAAATATAGAAATTAAAAAGAAATATTTAATTAAATTAAATGTACTTATTTGTACTTGTATCAAAAGATTAATTAATTCAATATCATGCATTGTAATCCAAATATTTACCTGTAAAAATTTGAACAACATTTGCGCAACTGTGCGCATTGAAATTGCATCATATTTACTTGAGCTAAGCAATCAGCGTTACTTGTAGTACTTTGTAGATTATCAGATTCCGCAAATGTCCTATACCAATGAGTATAGTTTGTAGCTATTATTGAACAATTCATTGATTCGTCCACCTAAAATTGACATACGTATAATTCAATTCGTAACCTTTATTTTGTAATTGAAAATATAGAAATTGAAAAAAAATTAAGTCGTACTTAGGTGAATATTACTCAAGTTATTTAATTAAATGATATTCAGGTGAGTTACAAGATGAATAAATAATGTGATAAGTCAACTGATAAAATATTTATTGCATACCTGATCATGATACATATCCAGGCATCCGTGAAGTTTATTATCACGTTTGATAGCTAATTTGTAAAGCTCATTAAAGCTATCATCATTTCGACTAATACAACGATCACCCATTTCGAGTAATGTATCAGTGGATAACAATGGTGCTTGTTTTACACTATTCCACAACATTTGACAACGGTAAATACTTCTTTCCACCTTGTAATAAATCATAATTTCCGGAATGATTAAAATGCTACGAAAGAATTACTCTGACTTCATCACGTCATCAAAATTCATAGTAAAATCAAAAACAACAAAAACAATGCATACTTGTCGTCGACATTGTACATAATCGTCACAGAGACTTCCGTTGTATTTTTCCTGAAAACAAAACAATTTTCAGGAATTCTTACCCTTCATTTTCAATCCTTTTTTATACATCCAATAAAACTGAACGTTGCCAAAATTTAATGAACTGTTACTTGAGTATGCTTCAGATATTTTTCGTGTGTCTTCCCAGATTGTTTCTCCTCGATACTTTCCTTATACTCTGCCATCGGTTGTTCCTTTTTATCAACTGGAACTGTTAATCAGTGATAAAATTATGCGATTAATTTGTTCAAGAGTAATACTCAGAGATATTAGTATCAATTAATCGATACTAAGAAGGATAAAGATGATGATGGAATAACTTTAAAGAATCTATCCAGCTAAAATAAGCTATCATTTTTCAAAACATCATATATCATTTACTTGTTTTATTTTGCAACATTTGATAATTGCTGTCATTTTTATCAGTTGTAAGACCGTGATATGATAGAATATTATGCTTTCGTAATATTGATGAATTGTGTGTCTCCCTGATGAGTATGGCTTTCAAAAACATCTGCCTAAAGTAGATTAGCATAAATATGTTGAATCTAAAGCACTAATTATCGTTTATTTAATTAATAGTTCAATCGCAGCCTGTAAAATTTAATTGTATGGACGGAAAGTGCAAAGTTTTGAAGTTCGTAAACAGCTTTTCTAAAAATAAATTAAACCTTAAAAGTTCAATATAGGGAGGAAAAGAAGAGAATGGAAATATTTTCGTAGTAGAGGAAACTTTTTTCTTAGTCTAGTAAAATATGGGCCAACATGAAAATAAAGGAGAAAACATTGATCTAGGCTGTAAATATTCAGTCTAGAAGATCAGAGCGTTGTTCTGAGATTCTCTTGTCTATGCAGTTTGGTGATCAATGTTGTAAAGATAAGACAAAAGACAGTTCAAATAAAATAGTACCATTGATTAGATGGATTTCGCAGAAAACTTCTCAGCAGATCATCGCTATCCATTTGATTTGTAAAAGTAATTAAGGTTGAAGAATTTTCTGAGGTAATTGTTCCGTTAATTGATGCTGTGACGTTATTTGATTGATGAATACCTTCCTAAGGAATAAATTGAGGAAAAATTTGAATACGGCAGAAAGGTCATTCTTATCAGCAAGCTAATAAAACTTCCCATTTAGCATCTAAATCTCTAATTATACTTACTTTGCATTCTCTTGCAGCAATTTGAATTTCACGAATTAATATCTGCTTCCGTTTCGTTATTAGAGATTGCTTCACGAGTTTTTTACATCTAGAAATTGTTTATGTTTGATTTGGAATTTTGCAAATTGGAAATTTTAACGAACTACTTGTTCGCGCTTTAATTAATTAACAGTGAATTGCTCTAGAATGTCAAGTAAATGTGATTTTCTAATGTGAGCATGTAAAATTGAAATGTACATAAAACAAAGGAAATATCTGTATGGAAAGGGAGAGGATGACAAAATTGATTAAATTAATTCAATGTCACTGATAAACTTTTAAAAGGATCAAAATATATTTGGTCAAAGTTTATGGTAAGCAAAGATTTAATCTTTCCGAATTTTGTTCCAATGATTTTTGGTTTGAAAGGCAATATTTTTTGTTAAGGATTTCTTGTAACTATCATTTAACTATAGAGTGAAAACAAATAAATTTGTTTTTGTATAATTTCAATTTCTATTTCTTCATCATATTTTAGCACAAATAGAAGAAGCGCCATTACTACCAAAGTCAAAATGTTTGCTTCGGACCACGGCGCTATTGAACTTCAACTTCCGCTTCCGCTAAGATCCTTGAAGAAGATTCATCATATGAAATGATAACCTTGGACATAAACGATGGTTTCTTATGGAAATAGGTCATCTAATTTTCAAATTGAGCAAATATGCAGAGAACAAAAGATTTGATTCGTTGTAGCAGTAGAATTTGATGGTATTTAGGTTACTAATTTGAAGAAAAAAAAAATTTGATCTTTACGATATTAGGAACAAATAGACCCCCCAACTGCTGTTAATGTCAATCAAAGATATTATCAGGAATCATCAGTGAAGTGGGCAGAAAAGAAATGTTGACATTTTTTTTTGGCTTTTAAGAGTATGAATACAAACCATCGGAATTTCCTGTTGTAATCTATTACGCTATATTCTATTATTATGCGCAAATTGCACTTTAAAAATAAAAAATGAATTTCTCTTAATGAAAATTAACCCATCATAGGCATTACAACATTGACGTAATGGGCCACATTGTCGTTCGAATCGTTTGCTGCCTTGAAAACATTTGGTCAAAACTGGACTACCATCCTTGTCTCTCAGTTCGCTGACCAATTGAAATAACGAATGGTTGCAGTGTTGTTTCTGCAATAAGATTAAATGACTTGTGTAAAAATTTGAAAAAATTGAAAAAAAAGTTTAAAAAGATTTAAATCCTTCTTGCATAAATCTCAAACTGTCTTAGCCGTCCGTAGTTTTACGATTTTAATTGAAGTTTACAGAAAATTCAAAATGTTTTCCCACAATTTCCCATAATGCCAATTTTGTTGTTAGTGGCAAATTTGACCTCTTTCCATTCCTTTCCTTCTTCTTTGTCTTCCCCTTTCAATTTCCCTTATCGCTCCGCAATCTTTTCTCCTTTCCTCTTTCTCTTCTTCTCTTCTCTTCTTTATCTCTTCTCTCTTATCGAAATTTTCTGATTTAAAATTAAAAAACAAAAGCAAAAAAAACAGAAAAAAAGCACATAGCGCTTATTTTCTGGTCAGTTCTAATATTCTATCATAAAAATAATTTGAATGCAAAAGAAAAAACTTTTGGTATTATTCAAAATTATCTCAAAATATAAAATACAAAATTCAGTTAAAATTTCAAAGAAGAATTCAAGAAAAAAAATTTTAATTATTATTTTAGTTTAATCAATAATTATTATCAAGTATAATTTAACTAAATTGTGCTTGATTATTTCACAATTGCTAGAAAGGCAAAATAAAGGAAAAGAAGGTCAAACCTGATGTTCGTCAAGTAACTCTGAACGTTTGGCCATACAGAGCAAAAGTAGACTATTGGACTCGCGCATTAAATGATCTACCTATAGAATATAATAATTATTATTTTTAGTATGATTAATATCAATGATTTTCATTGGAATGATATTAATTGAGAGGAGGAAAATTATTGTAACCATTAGATAACGACGTCTGAGATGAATATGACATCGTTGACCAATCGGATCATCAGATGGTAACCAATACGGTGTCAATTTATTATTCCATAAGCAAAGCCTTTCTTGTAGTTGTGAAATCATCTCACATTCACCCAAAAATTCACAGTATGATATTGAATCATTCTGCAAATTACATTTCCATTTTTCGCTTCGATAATAATTTGTTTATCGAATTATAAACATTAAATTACGTATTTGATTACATATTTGAATTACATAGTTGTGCACGTAACTGCACATTTCAGATATGCAGTCAAAAACGTAATTTAAATTATATTAAAATTTAAATCGAATTACCTATTCAAATAGTTATATAATTTTGAAAGTTATTTGTCAATCATAGAAAAAAAACTTACTAAAGAAGTAAAAGTACATGTTACAGTTAAGAGAGAAGTGATGATAATGAAGCAAATTGCATATTTCATTGTTTCCCTTTATTGTTAACAGTGATGGTAACAAGTGATAACTGAAGCCCTGCTGCTGATAATATGTTAAAATGTTTCGAGATCCATTAGTTGTATCAAACCTGAAAATTTGGAATTGCTTATTCAGAGAGGTACTACGATCAATTGGTTATTCAGGCATCAGAGATTATAGGAAGAAGTCTTCACATAAAAATTGTCAAGAACGATTGTTAATATATACGATAATGGTGATAATGATTATGTTTAATGGTAATGATGCTGACAAAGAATGTTGAATCACTTTGATGGTGGAGAAAACAAACAAGTATAAATGTATAGAGGAGGATATGAAAAAAAGAAAGGAATGTTGTTAAGGAAGGTATCCATAGTACTGCGATTATTATCGTTATTATCAATACTACCACTTTACCTATGCAACAAAGTTAATTAAGCTAAGAACTGATGTCAATCACTTAGATGAAACAATACTATCAACAATAACTGCATCAGTGATGCAATCGTTATTGCAAAAGGAATGATTAGAATTGTGTCAATTTTTTCCTCCCAAAATCTAATTTTGACCTAATTTTTTTTAAAAAAAAGAGAAAAAAACGAAGCCATTTTTGCGCCTACTTCTTTAGAATATTCCTCTACATTTGGCTAACTTTAATTATACTAGCTGTTATTGTCAAAGCAGTTACACTAGCAATAATGATATTGTTATAAATAACTGAAGTTGAAAGAGGAAATGATTGAAGCGGAAAGTTATCTAAAAATGAATCTGAAAAAATTTACTAAAACTTTTGTAGCGATGAAAATTTTTGCAAAAAGAGTTATTGCATGGGCATGTTTCCATCTTGTCTTTCAAACATTTTTAATCATTCGCCTCTAAATTTTCACAAATATTTCGATAATTTCATTGCTGAGAAATAGTGTACGATTTTTGAAATCATAACCGGGCAATGCAATTTAATAAGCCTGGTATCATAATCAACAAGAAGTTTATCACTTATCAACAGTAATCAAATGTTGACAACAAGAAAAAGTGGATTTATGAAATAGTCTTGCTAATTTTTGCCGGTTTGTTTTCCTTTCTTCGGAAATTAAAAACTTATTTAATATCAGAAACTTACTTCTGAATCCTTCGTGGAGTCGTTGTGTTGCTATAATGAAAGTTTACTTTATCCTACGGTATTATAACAATATGCATGATCCTATTTATTTCCCGATTAAACAACACTGAATTTTCCATTTAAATTAGATGCTGAAGCTATTTTAACATTTTGAACTTTAAAGACGTCATATGCTGAAACTCTCTCTCCTCCCTAAAATAGTGCGACCATAAAAAGATGTGATAGGAAAAGTAGCGGCTTGAATTGAACACCTTTTTTGTTTCCGTTCTTCGAAATGCAGCGTCCCATCACAGATAGTTTATCTGATTGGCACAATCGTATTTTGTCTTAGTATCCAACATCGATCATTTAAGAAAATATTCCAGTAAACTTTTCCTGATGCGATATAATCAATTCTTCATTAGTTTTATTTCTTCTAAAATCATTTTTAATCATTTGTTTTTTTCACAGTTTCTTTCAAACTTGCTGTGCTAACCGGATGGCATTCAATCAATATTATCATACAGCATAACTGCATGCACTCGGCATGTTGGTTAATTTAACGTTTACCGTTTCAGATAATCATATTATCCTATCATATTCCTTTGCCCACTTCTAAACAGCCATCTTTTTTTTCGATCTTGAAATTTGCAGCACAAATCGACTTCGTCCATTTGATGATTAACAAATCAATCCGGATAAGAGATATACTTCACTGTTTCAACATATTGAAATATCGGATTACCCTATCGGATAAGTAAACAGGTAATCATCAATGAGCAACTTTACCTTGCATTTAATAAATAACCTTTTTCTTTCCTTTTGGACACAATATTGGGTTTGGATATTTTTCTCATTGTTTAAATTTAATCAAATATGTTGAAAATTTTCACACTCTATGGTCACTTCCAAAGGGACAGCGAATCATTTTATCTTAAAATGTTATTAATTACGCTTATCTTTAGCCTTCATTAAATTAATAATTTTTCTCGCATTATGTTTCCTTTGATGGTTGTCACTAAAAATTACTTGAACTGATAGTAATATGCGATAATCGGTGTTAAATGATAAAAGAAGAAATTTAAAAGATAAAAGAAGAAGATAAAAGATAAAAGGAAAAATAAAAAAGATAAAAGAAAAAATTTGTGTTTCATTAATTACAAATGTTTACAAATGTTTATAGGAATGATATTGATATGATAAATACGGTTACATGCCACACTGGTGTTAAAATAAATTACGGTATCGTTATATACAGCATGATGATTATCACAAAATTATGATAATCTCAAAATTCAAAGTTTTCGAATTTCCAGAATCCTGAAATTTCGAAATGATTTAAAAATTTCAAAATTATTCCAAATTTCAAAATCACCATATTATATAATTTCAAAATAATGATAATAAAGAGATGGTACTCTTTTTATATTCAAGTCGTATTCCTATTAGCATGGGTATGTGAGAATATTCCTGTTGTTGGGAAGGATCGGAATATTCCTTCCCAATTCTGGAAATGATCGGAATATACCCACTTTTTAGCAGGAACCGGAATATTCCTTCCTAATTTTGGAAATGATCAGAATATTCTCATTTTTAAAAGGTAAATGAAAAAAATCTTACAACGTGAAATCAAAAATATTCCTCCACTTGTATTAATATTTCCATATTTCCCTGCCTTCTTTTTATATCATTAATTTGCACTTCGTTTCAAATTCTTTATTACATTTGTATATCGATCAATGTACAATTAATTTGTCGTATATGCATACATTATGTGTGGCGGTGCCTTTTGTGTCTGTAGTTGTTCAGTCGTGACAAAAGCTTGGAAATTTACGACATTTTGAAATTACCAATAATTTTTGCATATTTTGCAGGGACTGATAATTTTTTATTTTTGGTGGTAAAATTTGTTTTCGTTATTAACATCACAGATTGACATATGTTGACGTCAAGTCAAACTAAATGAATAGTTTGATCCTTCATTGATAAAGAGAATCAGATAGATAGATAAATGATTCGTCAGAACTACATCGTAGTTACGCTTGTACACGACAATGTTACGCCAGTTAGTCCTGCCTTAGTAATTCATCATTTGCCCTTAGTGGTTCTTCTATTTCCATTTCTTCACTTCTGGAAGAAAGAGGGGAGAGGGGAGTATATTGGTTGATGCATGAGTTTGTCCTCTTGCATAATGCAACTTTTCTTGTGACATTTTCCTTTTGCAAAATTTTTTAGCAGTTTCCCAGTTTCATTCATTGTGGGTTTTTCAACAATTTTTAATAGTGTGTTAAACGTTTCCTTGCTGCTTTTGCCAAGAATGTTGCCGAGGATGAGAAAAAAGAATCAGAACTCGAGATAAGATGATATGAGGAATAAAACGTTTAGATAATTACTCCGAGTTGCAGATTTATTAGCATACAAATTAGATATTGTTGTACGACTGAGTGGTACCAGTGGTACCAGTCGTTTTTGTCACAGTTTTTTTTTCCTATTATTCAAGCTCGCGACAGCGGATTTCAGTAACTGATTATTAAAAAAACCTGTGCATTCTATTGATCAATACAATCTGACCACCGCTTTTAGAAATAGATGACTGTTAGAAATTGTCGTGAAATTTTTCTTCGGTGGATAGTCCAATGGATTATTTGTGTTGTGCGGGACCAACTCGTATGAAGAAGGGTTTATTCGTCTATGCTCTATCAAAAACAAAAACCCAGCAGTAAAATTTGACAAACTTATATTTATTAGGAAGTGGGTGTGGTTCTTTCTAATTATTCAAACATTTAAAGAGATGTTGATTCGCATACATCGGAATTTGTGAGAATATTGTTATCAGATGTAAATTGGATAGATGAGAAACATGAACACAAAGATGTTAAACTGAATAAAAAAAAATTAGAATAAAAAGAATAAGATAAAATAAAAAAAAGAAAAAAAATAAGAATAATGTAAGCAATTGAAAAGAAAGGCATTTCCTTTATACAAGGATAAAAAACATGGGAGTGTGAATTTAGACAGGTATTAAGATGAGATAATTAATTAATCATAAATCATGGATCATGAATCATGGAAAGCATTCCCATCTTATACAAAATCTAGCGACTTTCGCGACAGAAATATCATGTCATTGCTTTTCACATTAAAACATAGAAGTCGGTTCCAGATCAACATTTCGACAAGTTTATTGGTTTATCAACATTGTCGCCGATTTTTTCAACCGTGATAATACTGAGGGCTTTTTGCCTTTTCATGTGATAGTACCTCAAACTTGGGTAATCAAACCTTTATTACGATAAATTTATTAATACATCAACGAACTTGCAATTACGACATCGACACAACAAATTAGCAACGAAAACATCAAGAACAAAAGAGACCAAATCACGCCTGATACCTTATATCCAACCGACCTCAGTGAAACACATTTGTAAAAATGGATTGGTGCTCAGGCCCTCCGCTTCTTCGATTGGGAGGGTCCTTGTACCGTTTTATGATGACAAGAATTGGCTTCCTTATGGAGCACCCATTGGTGTAGGATTCTTTGTTAGCGCAAATGTAAGGTGAT